CCATGCATCCATGCATCCATGCATCCATACATCCATCCATACATACATACATACATCCATACATCCATACATACATACATACATACATACATACATACATACGTACATACATCCATACATACATACATACATACATACATACATACATACATCCATACATCCATACATCCATACATACATACATACATACATACATCCATACATCCATACATACATACATACATACATACATACATACATACATACATACATACATACATACATACATACATACATACATACATACATACATACATACATACAGACATACAGACATACAGACATACAGACATACAGACATACAGACAGACATACATACAGACATACATACATACATACATACATACATACATACATACATACATACATACATACATACATACATACATACATACATACATACATACTTACATACATACATACATACATACATACATACATACATACATACATACATACATACATACATACATACATACATACATACATACATACATACATACAGACATACAGACAGACAGACAGACAGACAGACAGACAGACAGACAGACAGACAGACAGACAGACAGACAGACAGACAGACAGACAGACAGACAGACAGACAGACAGACAGACAGACAGACAGACACACTATTGTTTATGTGTTTACGCTGTGGGATGCGAGGTTTCATTACAACATTTTTTTCGTGATGAAACGACGTAGTCAGCCGGCGGGTGGGTTGCGAGGTTTCATCAGGACAGAGTTTGGGGGTTGCGAGTTTTCTCTCTGCTCATTTTGGTTGCAATATGCGTCTGTTGTTTGAAACGCCACAAAGTGATAAAGATGTTTTTTCAAGACCAATTAGTTTGGGGTTTGATTCCCGGCCAACTAAAGTCAAATAAATGTGTGTTACATGCAGAATTTATGTTTGAATCCTCAAACGGATTGTAATTAATGCAATTTGTTTCACTATAATTTGTCAAGATTAGATCTGGTTACTTCCAGTTTTACTAAATAGCACAAATGAATAATAAATCTCTGTTTGCACTACAGATGGTTTTCATAAGAGATGTGGAATCAAAATGAACAGCCATAAATGTTAATGTCATGAAGTGACGATGCATATGGGCAATAACAAATTTAAGCACCTGTAGGTGATTGTACTTGAAGTGCTGGAACTTAAAACGTTTTTTGTGAGGTAGGGTGGACCTTATGTTTCTGTGTCCTGCCTACGGAACGTCAGCCTATTCATCACTGAGGTGCAGCTTGAACTAGATGTTCATGTTTGGGGTGTACTTCAAACACCTGATGTCGGTGACAACGGGATCACCCGTTTTTCTACCTAGTCTTATAGACTTGTCGTAGCTTCCACACTTAGAATATTCCTTGAAGAATGTGAGATCCAACTATTTGTTTGGATAAGTTTCTTGTTTTGCTCTTGGGTAGTCTTGGAGGACCTCGATGCGTGTTTTTCGAAGCGATCTCTTGATAGTTCAGTTCACACTGTTAATTTCCATTTGTGTGTGTCCTTTGATAAAATGTTTTTGTTCAATTGTGCTTCCATGTGTTGTGGAAAACAGGCTGAGAGAAACATTGGCTAGTGTGGCATTTCTGTAGTGGTAACCACAGTTGTAGCTTTCGATGATGGTTTTATGGAGGTCCAGCTTTTCTTTCAGGAAATCCAACAGACATGAAGCAAACTCATTTGCCATAAGTCCCCATTCTGCTTCATGACACACAAAACAAGTAGCCTGGCGTGTTGCAGCATCCAATAGCGTTAAGTTATGAACGGTGAGTTTTGTTTTGTAATATAAAGCTGATGCTGAAGATCCATTGAAAGTACGGCCGTTTTAGGTTCATTACTGGCGAGAGATTTGATGGCTTCAGATTTATCTCGTTCCTTTTCTTTGTGCGCTGCCTCCTTTTCTAGAATGTGAGTATTTCAAAGATCCTCCAGCACATTGTCAACTTCACGACTAATGCAAAGGTGGTACATATCTATCTTTGAAGGAACAGCGACATGTTATTCTGCTTGAATCCTTCATCGAGGGCGGGTCTTTTGAGAGGCAGCCTCCAGTGGTCTTGGCAGACTTGTGCATATATTTTGTAGATATCTGAGTTACTTTGATATTTCAAAGATCCTCCAGCACATTGTCAACTTCACGACTAATGCAAAGGTGGTACATATCTATCTTTGAAGGAACAGCGACATGTTATTCTGCTTGAATCCTTCATCGAGGGCGGGTCTTTTGAGAGGCAGCCTCCAGTGGTCTTGGCCTTGGAGTAACTATATAGGGAGAGGCCCTAACGTTGCGTCGCCCGCTCAACAGTTCCAACCAAGTTGAAGCCGAAAGGGCGGAGCTTATCG